AGGTACCGAGGTGGGTGGTCCGCGTGGGACCCACCTCCGCTGGGCCTCCCAGGGGCCCACGGAAGTGGCCACAGTTGCGCAGATCGCAAGCCCCTCAGGGGGCGGCGAGGTACCGAGGTGGTCCGCGTGGGACCCACACCCGCTGGGCCTCCCAGGGGCCCACGAAAGTGGCCACAGTTGCGCAGATCGCAAGCCCCCCAGGGGGCGGCGAGGTACCGAGGTGGTCCGCGTGGGACCCATCTCCGCTGGGCCTCCCAGGGGCCAACGAAAGTGGCCACAGTTGCGCAGATCGAAAGGACCCCCCCAGGTGGCGGCGAGGTACCGAGTTGGGTGGTCCGCGTGGGACCCACCTCAGCTGGGCCTCCCAGGAGCACACGAAAGTGGCCACAGTTGCGCAGATCGCAAGCCCCTCAGGGGGCGGCGAGGTACCGAGGTGGTCCGCGTGGACCTCCGCTGGGCCTCCCATGAGCCCACGAAAGTGGCGAGAGTTGCGCAGATCGCAAGCCCCTCAGGGAGCGGCGAGGTCCCGATGTGGTCCGCGGGGGACCCACCTCCGCCGGGCCTCCCAGGAGCCCACGAAAGTGGAGACAGTTGCGCAGATCGCAAGCCCCTCAGGGGGCGGCGAGGTACCGAGGTGGTCCGCGTGGACCTCCGCTGGGCCTCCCATGAGCCCACGAATGTGGCGAGAGTTGCGCAGATCGCAAGCCCCCCAGGGGGCGGCGAGGTACCGAGGTGGTCCGCGTGGGACCCACCTCCGCTGGGCCTCCCAGGGGCCCACGAAAGTGGCCACAGTTGCGCAGATCGCAAGGACCCCCCATGGGGCGGTGAGGTACCGAGGTGGTCCGCGTGGGACCCACCTCCGCTGGGCCTCCCAGGAACTTACGAAAGTGGCATCAATTGCGCAGATCGCAAGCCCTCCAGGGGGCGGCGAGGTACCGAGGTGGTCCGCGTGGGACCCACCTCCGCTGGGCCTCCCAGGAGCCCACGAAAGTGGCCACAGTTCCACAGATCGCAAGCACCCCAGGGAGCGGCGAGGTACCGAGGTGGTCCGCGTGGGACCCACCTCCGCTGGGCCTCCCAGGGGCCCACGAAAGTGGCGACAGTTGCGCAGATCGCAAGCCCCCCAGGGGGCGGCGAGGTACCGAGGTGGTCCGCGTGGGACTCACCTCCGCTGGGCTTCCCAGGGGCCCACGAAAGTGGCCACAGTTGCGCAGATCGCAAGGAGCCCCCCAGGGAGCGGCGAGGTACCGAGGTGGTCCGCGTGGGACCCACCTCTGCTGGGCCTCCCAGGAGCCCACGAAAGTGGCGACGGTTGCGCAGATCGCAAGCCCCCCAGGGGGCGGCGAGGTACCGAGGTGGTCCGCGTGGGACCCACCTCCGCTGGGCCTCCCAGGGGCCCACGAAAGTGGCCACCGTTGCGCAGATCGCAAGCCCCCCAGGGGGCGGCGAGGTACCGAGGTGGTCCGCGTGGGACCCACCTCCGCTGGGCCTCCCAGGGGCCAACGAAAGTGGCCAGACTTGCGCAGACCGCAAGCCCCCCAGGAGGCGGCGAGGTACCGAGGTGGTACGCGTGGGACCCACCTCCGCTGGGCCTCCCAGAGGCCCACGAAAGTGGCCAGAGTTGCGCAGATCGCAAGCCCCCCAGGGGGCGGCGAGGTACCGGGGTGGTACGCGTGGGACCCCGCTGGGCCTCCCAGGGGCCCACGAAAGTGGCGACAGTTGCGCAGATCGCAAGCCCCCCAGGGGGCGGCGAGGTACCGAGGTGGTCCGCGTGGGACCCACCTCCACTGGGCCTCCCAGGAGCCCGAGACGGCACGACAGCCCACCTCCGTCTGCGATCAGCAGCGCAGATCGCAGACGGCACAAGAGAAGAGGAGAAGGGAACACAGGGAACAAAGAAGAAGAGAAGGAGGAGAGGAGGAGAGGGAAGGAGGAAGGAGGAAGGACGGGACGACCACACTGTTCTATTCAAAACGAAAACCCAACACAGGAAGGTTGGGAAACAAGACGAGCTGGTCGGAGCTAGGCTGAGCTGGGCTGAGCTGGGTGGACATGGGCCAAGCAAACTACAACATGTGGGTGAGGTGCACCGTGCCTGAACTGAGATGAGGTGGAGTGCGCTGGGCTGAGCTGAACAGAACCAGGCCAAGCTAGACAGAGCAGGACTGATCCATGTCGAACCGGGCTGAGCTGAACTGTCATGCCGAGCTAGACAGAGCCAGATTTAGCTACACTGAGCTGGACTGAGCTGACATGAGCTGTGCGGAACGGCAGTGGGCCGGCACTGGATGGAATGAGTTGGGCTTGGCTATCATGATCAGGTGTTTCTGCTGGCGTATGTAGGCATGAGGCTTTGCAGGCAGACACGTCGACGTCCTCGCTTATGTTTTCCAGAGGAGCAGAAGCCCCCTTTTCGTGTGCGCGTGTGTGTGTGTATGCGTTTGTGTGTGTGTGTGTGTGTGTTTGTGTTTGTGCTTGTGTGTGTGTGTGCGTTCGTGCTGCGTGAGCTGGCCCAGCCCGCGCGCTCACGCCTGACTTGACTTTCGCTGCGCCGCCGCGCGCGTGGCCGCGACGCCAGAAGTGTGTGTGTGTGTGTGTGTCAGTCAGTCAGTCAGTCAGTCAGTCAGTCAGTCAGTCTGTCTGTCTGTCTGTCTGTCTGTCTGTCTGTCTGTCTGTCTGTCTGTCTGTCTGTCTGTCTGTCTGTCTGTCTGTCTGTGTGTGTGTTGCAAGTACTGTGCCTGCTCACTTTTGGTGATCATGAGGCTGTTTGAGATGGACACGCCTGAGTCCCAACGCCCTCCTTTGTTCTGTAAGCGATGCCATCGTTTTCGCCCCGAGCGGGCCCGTGCAGACACCCCTGTCGGCTTCCAGGAGGCCCCGCGTACCTGCTACGGTCGGCGTTGGCAAAGATAGCGTGCGATGTGGCGCCGCTAGCCCGCTCATTAGACACTATTCCCCACATTGGGGATAGCGTGGACCGAAGAAGTCCTAGCAGGTGGATAGCGTGCACAGAAGGGGCCCTCGCGGGTGGATCGCCTCAAAAGGATAGCTGCTTTTCGGAGATCGATGTTGCGCGCTATCTTTCCGACGCCAACCGTAGTACCTGGTGATCGTGGGCTCTCTAGAAAGGTCCATTTGCGTCCTCCATCGTTCATTCTGCCGTTGCGCTGCCACTACTTTCGCCCCGAACGGGCCCAGGCCCCCTTGCAGAAGCCTCTGCCCTCCTCCCCCTGCGAGCCCCAAGCCCAGTTCCTCCTTCTTGCTGGTGCTCATGATGCTCCTTTGAGGGAACCATCTACGTTCACCACCGTACATCAACCAAACGCCATTGCCGTCATCATCCCGATTTGGGCTCGTGCAAACACCCTTGCCGCCCCTTGCGGGAGGCCGAGATGCGACGCTTGCAGTTGGCGTCTGGTGGTCATGAGACTCGATCCAAGCGTTGCCACCAATGTTCCGAATGGACCCGGGCAAGCACCTCTGTTCACCTGCATGGGAAGCCGCAGTGCCGCGCCTGCTAACATTTGGTGACGATGAGGTTCTTCACAGATGCGCATCTACGTGCCCAGTCGTACAACCTGCCCATGCGCTGCAACCTATTCCGTCCTGTCCGCGTCTTTCTAACAATCTCCGGCCCTCCTTGGAAGACACACGTGTGGTGCTTGCTAGCAGTTTGTGATTATGAGGTGCTCATGAGATAGCCACTCACTCCCACCCCCGCCGAAACAGGTATCGTCGCACACTGAATGGGCAAGTGTCACCTGGTTGTCCTTGTGGGCGGTCTAAGCGTTGCGTTGCTAGCACCTGGTGATCATGGATACCCACCTACGATGCTCATCTTGTATACTATCAGGTCAGAACCGCCGCTTTTATCGTCGCCTCTTCGTGAGGCCCCAATATTATTCCTGCTGGTAGTTGGTGATCACCAAGCTTCTCATACACCCATCCAACTTACCAAACATGCATTCTGCCCAGACGCTGCTGTCATCATCGTCCCGAACGGACCCGCGCGAGCATCCCTTGTGACGCCCTTGGGAGTCCAAATGCTGTGCCTGACCAGATTGAGCCATGTGCGCATGAGGCACTGAAAGCCCGAACGTGCTGCCTACCGAACCGCTGCCACCACTGTCGTCTCGAACGGGCTCGTGCAAGCACCCATGCCCTTCCCCCCCTCCCCGGGTGGTCCACCTGTTGTGTCTGTGAGCATTTGGTGTGACCGTGGAGGCCCTCAGGAGGGGCACATCTGCCTCTCAAACGTGGATTACCCCAGGTGTTGCCACCAATTTCGCCCCGAGCTGGCAAATACCATTGTTCTCCCCTGCGGGCCCGAATGCTGTGCCTGCTGGCATTTGGTGAGCATGAGAGCCGGAGAAAGTGCTGTTCCCTGCGAGTGTGTGTGTGTGTGTGTGTGTCCCAAGCCGCACGTGCACTGCACGCCTCCGTGATCGTTCGACCTCCGAGCGGTCCAGAATGAGGCCAGGAGCAATCAAACGGCCGTCAGCAAGGAAGCATAATATCCTTGTTCTCTTGTATATTCTCCCTCTGACTCATCCGCTCTTGCTCCTCTTCCTCCTTATCCCCTCTCCTTTTTTTTAATTCTCTCTCTCTCTCTCTCTTCTACCCCAGGCGAGCGGATTCAGCTCGATCCAGCCTGCCGTCCGGTCTCTCCGAATGTGTCTCGAGTGCTTTCGTATTCTGCGGGGCTTCAGGGTTTCGACCGATTGCGGGTACTAGTCGCCAGGGCACCCACTTGGGCCTTTTGGGGTTCCTTCTCCTTGTCCTCCTCCTCCTCCTCCTCGTCCTCCTCCTCATTTCCCTCATACTGGGGTGGTGACGCCTTGCCGATTCGATTAGGAGCAGTTGTGCTTGGTCGTGCGCCCTGCTGTATACCTCTTCTTCTTTGGATTCGATGTCTCTGCCATGGTCGTTGCAATCCTTGCGTGCTGTATGTTGTGCTTGCAGAGCCGCTCTGCCGTATAGCCCGACCGCCATTGACTAAGGATCGCAGTCCTCAGTGCAAAGAGTTCTTCCCCGCCCTCATCTCATCGCACCTCCTCAGCAACCGGGCCAGACTGAAGGACACGCGCTCCGTGATGTTCCTGTCGTTGCATGCTTCATCCGATGTGGGGATTTATCCATAACCACCGCCTGGGGGAATCGGTCCACGAAGATTGATCCCCCAGGCGGTGGTTCTGGATAAAGCCCTGCCTTGCACTTTTTATCTTTGCTGTGATGCAGTCCCGAGCCTCGTCCACTTCCGACGTGCCCTCCGCTCACGTCTGCCATCACGTTCAGTCCGTGCAGGTGTGACAGAACTCTGCTCCCCGCTGACCCGCGCGAGAGCCGCGCGGTCGCGCCCCTGCGTGAGAGACCACTCAGCTCAGTGACATCTTGGTGGGGATGGTGGGACCATGTGCTGAGGGGTGGGTGGGGGGATGAGAAGGGGGCGAGGCGCGAGGGGACGCAATGAGGAGAAGGAGGACCACGTTCTCGAAGAGATCGGGCGCTGCGTCGATCGCGTCGCGTCTCGTTCCGAGCGGATAAGCAGAGAACGACGCATTTTTTGCCCAGTCGCTGAGTCCCCGTAGTGTCTTCTTCAACAGTATTGTCCTCATTCCCTCCCTCTTTCTACTCCTCCGTCATCCTCCCTACTCCTCCCCTTCCTCCTCCACTTCATCTGGTGACCCAGGATACCCGCAATGCACCTATGTTGGTTGAAGTGTGTTCCTCTATTTTCGGGAGTGTGATGGTGAGGGTGATCAGAGGAAAACACCAACCAATACCAATGCCCCCCCCCTCCCCTATCCCCCCGCCCCCCTTCTGGGAGGCGGACGGGGCAGGATGGGGAGGGAGAGTACCGGTATCAGTAGGTTTTTGCTGCATGATGAGGATAACTAGGAGGGTGCAGAGGAGGAGGAGGCGGAGGAGGAGGAGGAGGAGGAGGAGGAGCTGGAGTAGGAGGAGGAGGAGCAGGAGGAGGAGGTGGAACAAGTGCCGTTCGTGTTGGTTAAGGCTTCATGCCACTGGCACCTGCTGTATGCCGAGCGCGCGAGTGGGCTGTGTGGGGAGCGTCGATTGATGGCGAGGGGCGGGGGAGGGCTCAGGAAAACGGTGATTGGGGGGATCGATGCGGGGAGGTAGGTGGTGATGGAGGGGGTTGAGGGAGAGGGAGGGAGGGAGTTTCTGCTGTTCATATGGTCAGGAAGGTGGCGAGGGAGGCTCGAGGTTCGATGACCGTTGTCTTGGGATGTTTTTCGCTCCCTGTTGGCCCCGGGAGGCCCAGCAGTGCACACTTCTTGGCCCGAGTGCGCAGCTCGATTCGGGGAGGGGAGGACGAGGGGGAGTGGGGGAGGGGTGTGGCACTGTGCCAGGAAGGCGGACACACATGCGGCTTTCCAGAAAGGGTCCCGCCTTCGAGGGTCGAAGGAGTTGACATCTCTTCCCCAGCGGAAGCAGAAGGCGGCGGAAGTAAAATGAGGGCGGCTCCGCCTGCAGAAGGTGGCGGAAGGTCAGCGGAAGCCAGCGGAATGAAACACCGTTGCCCCAGTTGATGACATTTGGGAGGGTTCAGGGTTTCTGGAAACCGCCACGTGATGCAGGGCGGCCTGGGCGAAGGCTTGCCACACAGTTGGCCAGGTGTCTCTCCAGCGCCCGGCCCTTCTGTGATCTCTGCAGGCGGGGCTTCCGCACGCACATTTGGCATGTGGCCTCCGGATGCTCCGCGCGCGAGTCCAGCAATGTGTCTTTGTGTGTGTGTGTGTTTCCACCCTCCTGGTTGCCGATGGACATGATCACACGAGCAGAGAGACTTCTAGCCGCGCAGTCAAACCTGCAACGGCGAGGTAAACACGAGCGAGGCTGCCTCCCCCTCCTCCCTGGTCCCTCCTCTCCCCTCCTTGCTCACCCCTTCCCTCCCCCCCCCATTCCTCCCTCGTCCTCCCTCACCCCTCCTTATGTTCCTGCCCCGCTCGCCGACTTTTGTCACAGAACAATTTCGACATCGACGACTTTTCCAAATGGCGGTTATCCCGTGAGTCCGCGCACGTCTCACATTTTCGAGGCCACGGCCGCCACGCTATGCCCTCCTGGGCGCGGGCGGGCTCCATAGGGGAGCGCACACGACTCCGGCATTCGCTTCGCTACCACCTTCCTTCCCCGGCTTGGCTGGCTTGCCTGGGACTTACGTGCTGCGGGCGAGGATTGTCGACATCCCAGCACCCATGCTGGCCCCCGGGGCATCCGCGCACACATTGCCCCCTGCAAACTGCGTGCGAGTGCAGTGCATCCGTGCGCAGCCTCTGCCCCGAGGCGGCTGCCGTGTTGCCTCCCTCCCTCCCCGTGGCACGAAGCAGAAACAGCGGCATGCATGTGTTTCAGAGCTCCGCGCGGATTTCGTGGATTTGCAGTAGGCCCCCCCTGCTGGCGCGGGGGCCTTCAGCGCGGATCCAAGAAATCCGCGCGCGCCCCCCCCCCTGAAAGGTTATGTTTCTGCAGTGTTTGGTTCCTCTTTCCCCGCCTCCCACTCCTGCTGAAGTCTGCGCGAGCGTGCTTCGCTCCAGGAGGCTGGCAAGTGCCCCGAGCTCGTCGCGAAGACCAGCGTGGCGCTTTGCCGCTACTGCGCCGAGCTGCCGTGCGACAAGGCGTTCTACGAGGCCATCGGGCCCCTGCGCACCGAGAGGGGAGCGCCGGGGTGCGGACCGCACGGCGGCCGAGTGACGGCTACACGCGCCACGGGGCTCTGCCCGCTCCCGCTCTGACTGCCCCCCACGAGCTACGAACGTGTCCATGTCCGTGCCCATGCCCTCGCGGTCTGGACACCGAGGCACGATCCCACGGATGCGCCGTCCCGTGGAACCGTGCCGCCCGGGGCGTCCGCGAATGGCCGCCCTGTGCGTACCCACGGGGGGGCAGAGGAGAACTCTGCGCATATGCCCATCCTGGCCAGGCCCATCTTGGGCTCAGGATGGGCATGGCCAGGATCGGTGCATGTGCATACTTCTCTTCCTTGTGCACGGGGTTTCGGTCGAGGAGTCCAGACCGCGAGGCCGCGGATATGGCTATGCTTCCCGCCGGGGAGCGGGGCACTGCCCCTCTCTTCCCCTTTCCCTGCTCCTCCTGCTTGGAACTGCTGGGGCTCCGTTTTGGTGCGCTCTGGCCGCGTGAGTAAAAATCCCACAACTTCTGCCTGTGCTGAGATTATGCTGGGCCCCCCCCTCCTTCCCTTAAACACGAGGGTGAAAGTGGGGGTCGGGCGCAGGGTCCCGGCAATGATGTTTTTTAAGGCCATGAATGGGCGATACATCCTCGATTGCTGTGTTCGGCGGGGGAACTAATTGAAGCCCCCCGCCTGCACCCGCGCGCGAGACTTGAGGGGAAAGGAAGCAAGGGGCGGGGGCTCGGGAAAGGCGACGAAGGCAACGTGCGCTAAGGGCGCAAAAAGAAAAGGCCGAAATCTGCCCAGCCAATCTGACATGCGGAACACTGCGCCTCAGTTTTGGAGATCTTGAAGGCCAGGGCAAAATGTGAATTCACATTGTGGGGAAAAGCAACATGTGAATTCACATTTTGGGAAAAAGGAACATGTGAATTCACATTTTGGGAAAAAAGGAAAATGTGAATTCACATTTTGGAATTGTGTGTAGGATTCTTTATGAAGGGGCCAGAATGTGAATTCACATTTTGGGAAAAAGGAATATGTGAATTCACATTTTGGGAAAAAGGAAAATGTGAATTCACATTTTGGGAGAATCGCGGGGCCCATTCCAAATCTGTCTTGGGGGTCGAGAAGTCACCGTTTGGGAACATACGCGATCATCAACCGCACAATCAAGACACACTTGCACTCCACTTCGCCGACCCACACGCAATATGCAAGAACGCCCGCACGCATGAACGATAACGGATGGACAACGCGTGTGCCCGCGCGGGCAACGCGCGGGCAGGAATGACTGGCCATTAATGACCGCCAGCATTGGATGCCAATCGTACCCGATCACATACATGAACGATACATTGAGCATACATGGGCCATTCAGCCCCCATTGAAGACACCCTGTTGCAGACCCCCTCTTTCACCCTGGCCCACATCAGAAGATGACCCCCTGCTCCTTCTATTGCCCCGAGCTGCCGTCAATAGAGCCAGGGGCGCGATCCTGCACTGAGGGGAGAGGGGAGATAAGAGCGAGTGTGCTCCAGAGGGTCCAGAGACCTTGGGGGCGTGTGCCTCGCTCCGCTTCCCTGTCCTAGGAGGGCCCACCCAGTTTCGAGCAGCTTCGCCAGACTCACTCTCTAAGTTCCTGCAGCCGCGCGCTGAGAAGGGGGGAGCATACCCACACTTGGTAAGCGCAGGGAACAGGTTGAGTGTTTGTTCAAAGCTAAGAACACCGCCATGAACGCCTGACTCCCTTAGTGCCATATTGTAGCCTCGCTTGTGCCATTGACTTGGCTTTTCGGAGCTTCGCTTTACGTGATCTTTCCCCTCGTTAGCTAGGCTCAGCGCATCTTTGTTCGCCAATGTGTCCCACTTCTTTCCCGCAACTTCTATGGCAACACTTGTAGCGCAAAGGGGCCATCGTCTGCCTCGCCAGGTGATTTCCTTTGTGGAGTGGACCGCGTTAGATGAAACCAAGCATGCCGCATGGCTTCATCAGGCATGGGCGATGATTTGCCCGGCTCGGAGAGGAATGGGGGATGGGGGGTAACCAATGGACACACAAGTCTGTATAATTTACGATGTGATGTGTTTGCCCAGGACATGGTGCATTGACACATCGAGGTTTATGCCATTATTTGAACATTTGCGCGCCCCAAAAAGTGACGGTCGCAGGCTGGCATGGATTGCAAGGACGCGAACATGATCAACATGGCATTCCTCTTCCTTAACAGGTGAGCGGGCGACCCGCCTACCAAGTCGTCTTGACTTTCGCACGTTACCGTGTGGTCAGGCTTGCTTGTATACGATGATTGCCACGTGGAGCAGATCTCTTGAAAGCTGGCAGGGAGCATGTGTGGATGATACGCGCGGCTGCTTTGCCCATCACCGCTCCTTGCGTCTCGCTGCAGGCGACCCGCGCCCAGCCGGTCCACTGCGTGTACTCTGCGTGCATTGTTGCGTGTTGTCGTTCCGCCGAGTAACACGTTATCACGTTATTGGGCGGGCAGTCGCACAATGTCGACTTCCGAAAACCCTGAGCCAACCTTACCATCTCTTGGGAGGAAGATTTTTACTGCAGCCAGCTTTCGCCGGCGGAGGCACCCTCGTTTTACTGTATTTCCTTTTTTTGCCATCACAGCCATCCCCGAACCCCCTGGTCCAGGGAGGGATACGGAACTACACCAAAACAAAAAAAATCGAGCCCCGATCTAAAACACTCCCACCTGCCACCAGAAATGCCAAACAAATCAGTGATTAGCCTCTGGTTCGAAGCCCCTGGATTCCTTACTCGAGAGATGGGGGGCTCCTCGGGCTCTGCTACTACTACCTCGGGATCTCCTACTACTTGCGCTGGTTCTTCCTGCCCTTGCCTGCTGCCGCCCCGCCTCCGCCCTTGCTGAATGCCAAGCGCTCCACCTGCTTGGCAGCGCGGCTGCGGGAGAGGCACCCTCGTTTTACTTCCGCTGGCTTCCGCCGACTTTCCGCCGCCTTCCGCCGAGGAAGAGATGCCAATTCCTTCGATCCTCGAAGGCACGGCCCTTTTTGGATTGCGCGCAATGTGTTGCACGCGTTTCTCATATCTGAAGCTCTTGCAGTTTGCACGCGTACGGCAGGTCCGCGCCGCGTCGACGCGGCGGCGACCCCCCAGCACGGGCGTTCAAGGTTAAACGCCGCCAGTGGCCTAGAATAGGCCGATATTCACTGATCTGCAATACCAGAAGCCTGGGCGAGCAGGTGAACGATCTACCTAGTGTCAGAAACCAACGCTGATGCCATCGCGGCGTGAACCCGCCGTAGCAGCCGCTTGAAGGTTCTTGGACATCTCTGATGCCATCGAGGATCCGGACAACGCAGGAATCGACAACATGGATTTCAAAGATACGGACATTCCGGACCCGTGCGACCTGGAGTTGCCCGAGAAGCCGCACGTTGGGTCCACTGAGTCGGAAGAGATCCGCGACAAAGTCCTGGCCTGGTCCATGGACTTGAATTCTTTCTTTCGACTTTCAGCAATGTCAGTGGGCTCTTCGGCTCTGAGCCAGCAAGCCGAAAAACGAATCAGGACACCGACGCAGGCAAACACTGTCGGAGGTCTGAGCGGACCTCTTGGGTCGGCGCTGGGACCCCCCTGGCGGGCGTTCGGCGCTGACCCAAGAAATCCGCGCGGACCTCCAAAAGTTATGTTCGTGCAGCTTGCGATTATTTTGCAGTGGAGCAAGGCGGTTCGTGGGAGATCGAGGGGCCTGCCTCCTCTCCCGTCGCCACATCGCTGTTCGCTTTCCCCTCTGTTGTTGCTGCGTGTCGAGTGGGCCTCGTGTTTCCAGATCGTGTGAGCGACAGCCACGTATTACTCCCCTCGCCACTCATCGGTTCCCTACGGCGTCGCAGCGGCCAGGTGCAGGCGAGTGAGATAGTTCTGTTTTGGGCACGAATGCGAAAGGCGATGCAGGTTTGGGCAGCAAGAAGCTACGACGGGAATACATTTTCACGTGGTGTCCTGCAACTTTCTACACTCGGCCTCAAGCTGCGTTCGGAGGTCCACAGCTGTGCGCCCTCCCAGTTCGCCTAGCTGTTTTCTACCCCTTCCTCCATTCGCCTCTGCTGGACTCTTCCCCTTTCCTGCGTCCAGAATTACCAAATCTGAGTAGTATTGATATCTTTTCCCCCAGATTCTATCCGAGCGGGACCCTTTTCTCCCACATGTTTTTCCTTCTGGAGCGCAGGATTTCACATGTTGATGTGTCATGCTTTTTCCCAACCGTCCTGTGGTGTTGGCTCCCCGTTTTGAAGTGACAGCGCCCCGCGTCTCACACCTCCTCCCGCGTCCTCCTGCTACTCCTCCTCCCGCTCATCCTCCTCCCATTCCTGCCTCTGCCCTCCGCATGTCCGCATCGTCAGTATCCATCATAATCATCATCATCATCAGCATCATCGTCATCACCATCGTCATCGTCATCATCACCGCGCCACCCATCTCACATACCCCTCGCACGTTTCGCGGCCCCCGAGCTCCACCGAAGGCCGCTCCACCGAATGCCCCAGTGGCAGGGTTCGCATGCGTCCGCGCCGCAGATTTCGGCACACCCCTCACACGTTTCGTGGCCCCTTAAGGAGCTTCGCCCAAGGCCCCAGTGCCAGGGTTCGCAGGCGTCCGCGCCGCAAATTCCCACGCACCCCTCACACGTTTCGTGCCCCCCCCTAGGGAGCTCCACCGAAGCCCCCATTCCTTGAGGAAAACGCATATGTTTAGCAAATGCGACTTGTCGGCCTTCCCGGCGTCCAAGACGGCCCAAGAGTCCTCACATATCATCTTAAGACGGCCCAAGAGGCCCCCAAGAGGGGCGCGAGACGCCCCAAGAGGGCCCAAATACGGCACAAGAAGCGCCCACGACGGCCCAAGAGCGCTTTCAGAGGGCACCCAGAGGGGTCCACGAGGGGGAGCTCGAATTGAGATTTCGAGCTCTCCGCCCCAAAGGCGCCCCCAGGACCGGACCGCCAGCAGGCCCCCAGGAGGCCTCAAGAGGTCCCCATGAGTCCCCAAAGAGGCCCACAGTAGCTCTGACCTCGGACCTCACAAGCGACCGCGCGCCATAGTCGTCCCAACCCGATCATACACCGAACCGATGAACCAATGAGTACGGCATCGACCTGAACGTATGCATACATACGTACCTACATACATACAAACATACGCACATGCATACATACATACATACATACAAACATACATACATATGTCCTTGCATGCATGCATAGACACACACATACAGTCATACATACATACATCAGCACATGCATACACATACACACATGCACACATACACACATACATATACATTCATACACACATACATGCACACATGCTTGCATGCATGCGTACATATACAAGCTTACATACATACGTACATACATACACCCACCTATATCAAAACATACGTACAAACACGCATACATACATAATGCATGCATGCATGCATGCATGCATGCATGCATGTATACACATAGCAAATACACGCATTACACGCACACATACATACATACATTCATACATACATACATACATACATACATACATACATGCATGCATGCATGCATGCATACATACATACATACGTACATGCATACATGCATACATGCATACATGCATACCTGCATACATACATACACACACGTACATACACAACACACATGCGTACATACATACGTACGTACATACATACACACGTACGTACGCACGTACGTCCGTACGTGCATGCATGCATGCATGCATGCGTTCTTGCATGCGTACACACATCCATACGCGCATACACACATACATACATACGTACGTACATGCATACATGCATACATCCACACATGCCGAGAGACACTCAGACATGCACACATCCATACATGCATCTATGCGTACATACATACCTAATAGATACACAAACACAGATGCATATATACACACACTCACAACTGTATGTTTATGGATTCATTCAGTCACATAGATATGCATATATACATATATATATACAAGTGGCACGTGTGTGCCCAGGCTCATACAACAAGCTGAAGGGGCGTTTGAAGCAGGAGTGACATGCAAGAGCGAAGTCGCACTCGAGCGCAAGTGGGGTTGCCACACCTTGCGATGTGTGTACCAGGGCCCCCCAGGAAGCCTCAGGAGGCCCGACTTGGATACCAGAAGAGGCTCCAGGAGGCCCCAGGATTGTGAGTGTTGTGTGTGTGATGTGTGCTTTGTGTGGTGCGTGCTTTTTGTGTGTTGTCGGTGTGTGTGTGTGTATGTTATGTTTGTCTAGCGTGTGATGTGTTGGGCGTGATTTGTGTCTCTGTGTGTGCATGTAGTTCTGAAGCCCCAGGAGGCCCCAGGAGGCCCCAGGCGGCCTCAGCAGGCCCAGGAGAACTCCAGGAGGCTCCGAGGCGGGGTCTGGGGTACCAGAAGGTCCAGAAAGCCCCAGGAGGCCCCAGGAGGTTCCAGGAGGCCCCCAGGAGGCTCCGAGGAGGGGTCTGGGGCTCGATTTTGGGAGGATTTTTCATGCGAAACCGCCATTCTCTGAGAATCGGGGTCTAAATTATTGAAATTACCATGTGTTTTTGAAGGTTTTATGTTAAAAGGTTGAAATTCCCCTGTGTTTTTGGACCCTGACGTCACGATCTGCGTGAGGGGTGCCACCGATTTTCAGAATTTCGAGGATGTCCCGAGCGAAACGGCCAGAAAAATCGCGGACGACGTGCGCATTAATCGCCTCTGAGCTCTACTCCCTCGGAGAGGTGCGTATGAGAATATATATATATATATATATATATATATATATATATATATATATATAATATATATATATATTATATATATAGGGGGCGAGGCCGGGGCCCCCAGGACAGGTGCCCCCACACCCCATGGCGGGACGGGGGCTCATTTTCCTTCTGGTTTTAGAGGGTTTCCGCGTCCTGGGCCTCGGAGGCCGCCGCCTCCAACCCACCATGGGAGGACGGGGCGGCCGGGGAGGTCCAAAATAGTCCAGGAGGGCCTCCAGAGGCTCCCAAGACGGCCCAAGCGGGCCCCGAGTCGCCGAAAGACAGCTCCAGGACGCCCAAGATAGGCTCAAGACGGCCCGAGAGGCCCCCAAAGGCACTCCACGACGCTTCAAGACGCCTCTCCACAGCGCTTCAAGAGGACGAAATCGTTTATTTTACTAAGGTTTTGGACACATTTTGCTTTTCCCGCCTTCTCAGCTTTCCGACGCTCCACGACGGCTCAAAGGCTCCCCGCGGACGCCCCAAGAGAGCCCAAGAGGCCTCTAAGAGGGGCTCAAGACGGCTCTGGAGGGCCCCAAGACGGCCCAAAACGCGCTCAAGACGGGCGAAGAGAGCCCCAAGACGGCCCCAAGAGGGCTCCAAGAGGGGAACTGCGAACCGGAAATTCGAGCCTCCCGCCTCCACAGGGCCCCGGGAGGCTCCAAAGGGGCCCCAAGAGGCCCCAGGAGACCCCCAAGAAGCACCCAGGAGGCCCAAATGAGGCTTCAAGAGGCTCCCAAACAGCCCCGAAGAACCCCCGTGGGAGGATGGGGCGGTCGGGGAGGTCCAAAATAGTTCAGGAGGGCCTCCAGAGGCTCCCAAGACGGCCCAAGCGGGCCCCGAGTCGCCGAAAGACCGCTCCAGGACGCCCAAGATAGGCCCAAGACGGCCCGAGAGGCCCCCAAAGGCACTCCACGACGCTTCAAGACGCCTCTCCACAGCGCTTCAAGAGGCCGAAATCATCAATTTCACTGAGGTTTTCGAACGATTTTGGCCTTCCAGCCTTTTCGGCTGTCCGACGTTCCAAGACGGCTCAATAGGCCCCCAAGAGCGCCCCAAGACGGCCCAAGAGGGCCCCAAGACGGCCCTAGAGTCGCCCAAGACAGCCCAACAGAGCCGTCTTCAGGCCCTCTTGGAGGCCTCTTGGGCTGTCTTGGGGCGTCCGCGGGGGGCCTGTGAGCCGTCGTGGAGCGTCGCAAAGCTGAAAAGGCGGGAAAGGCAAAATGTGTCCAAAACCTTAGTAAAATTAGCGATTTTGGCCTCTTGGGGCCCTCTGGGGGGGCCTCTTGGAGGCCTCTTGGAGCGTCTTGGGGGCCTCTTTGGCCGTCTTGGGCTTATCTTGGGCATCTTGGGGCCCTCTTGGCGCCCTCTTGGGCCTCTTGGAGCCTGCTGGGCCTGTCGTGGAGCGCTCTTGGGGCACTCTTGGGCCGCCTGGGCTGCTCCCGGGAGGCTCCAGGCCCCCCCCGTCCCGCCATGGGGGGTCGAGGCACCTGTCCTGGGGCCCCCGGCCTCGCCCCTCCCGCTTGAAGAGTGCCCCAGGAGGCCCCAAGGAGCCCCCAAGAGGCCCCAGGAGGCCCCCAAGAGGCACCCAGGAGGCCCAAACGAGGCCTAAAGAGGCCACAAAACAGCCCCGAGGAGGCCCCACAACGGTCCCAAAACGGCTACCGAGAAGCTGCGAAACTGC